TAAGAAGGACATATTCGCTGTTTTACACCGGCCTTACGAGTTTAAAGTCTCACAAACGATTTTGTCACGCTTATTACGTCACAGTCAGCTGCCCTCATTGGTTTGAAAGACAACAGGTTGGTCTCATCAACAATCTAAATTACATATTTAATCTCACATTTAGTCTGGTTTATCAGGCTACAATATGTGATCTTTGCTCTGACTCGTATTTAGTTTAGGATCCTGTTTTATTGAACTGCTGTTTGTTATTTCCTGGTGACCTTGATGACGGCTACAATTGGAGCATACTAGAGTTCACTTATTAACAACTAGATGACCAAAAAGTGCAGATTTTGTGGCATATGTACCTTAGATGAAGGTCCTCAGAATATTTTAGGCAAGCATAGATGAACTCTTTCAGTTGGCAGTAGGCTTTGGGTACAAACTCAGAGAAGGGAAGCTTCTTAGGGAAAGGAAGCTAAGGACAAAGAAGAATGAGTTTAGCTCCAAGGTTTTTATGGCGTGGATTTTGGCTTTACTTTGTTTGTGGTTTCCTACCTTTTCCAATTCAGGGTCTTGCTGGGGAAATTGGGAGGTGTAATGTCTGTATTCCTGTTCTGTTGAAACCGGAATTGGACTGAAGTTGTCCTGGTCCAGAATCTGCCTAGAGAAAACAAACAGAAATCCCAGGTTAATATTTTAAAGTCTCCTCTAAAGATGCTATGAGAGACAAAAACACCATCAGTCGTCTGTCTCTCTCTCTTTTGCTTTCTTAGAAACAACCAATATGTCCCACAGGGGGTCATTCTGATGCTTAAGGTTTTCTTACCACCCTCCCTCCAGTCAACACCCCCACTTCTTTTTTTGGCGCTCCGATACTCGGACGTTCCAGCGTTCCATGGAGAGGCCGTGAACCGGAGAGGGCTCTCTCCCCAACAATACAACACAACATTCCTGTGGCTTCCCAAGTGCTTGTGTGTGAACGAGTAAGAGAGGAAGGAGAGAGGGAATGTGTGTTTGTTTGTCCGCTCTCGCTGCTCTGATTCCCAGTGGTGTCACGGGACAAAAGGGATGGCGAAACAATGGCACGTCGAGCCCGAACACACACAGAGTTCTAAAAGGGTACTACCCATTCTGTTACGGATGTGTTTTAAAACACTTCCTCTCTCCGGCTGCTTGTAAAACTTCAAACCCAGGCTGCGGCCGATCTTAAAAACACACCCAGATGTCTTAAAATGTTTGAAAGGCCTCCTGACCTTGTGATAACCAAAGCACAGAAGTCAAGATTCCTACAGATCCCTACCTGAAGGTGATGTTCCATCTCTTGAGCAGGATCTCTCCGTACTGCTCCCTCATTTCCAGCAGCATGTCAAACAGCTGGGACACGGGGAAACCGTAACCCTGCATATCAGGATGGGACAATTATGAGAAAAACATGCCGACATGATATGGCAACAAATCAAATCCACTGAACCAAACCAAAAATTTGATATTTTTAATCATGTTTTACTGAAACGCTGTTCGTCCAAAATCTCTATTGGTTTTTTTCTTTCATTAAAAGAAGATTTTCTAAAAGCAGTACTGAGATCAAGATGAGACTACTTGAGTCTATCAATGAGAAGAGCTCAAAGCAGCTCAGACCAGTAGTCACCGTTCAAACACCAACACATCATTACAGATTCTCATTTGAAACAAATCAACGGAATAGAATACGTTCATGTTTTTACTGCTTCTAAACATAGCTGTACTGAGATATTGAGGTTTATTTGACAGTGAAATCAATGAAAACATTGTTTTTGGGGCGACAGTGGAGTCATATGCAGGTGTTTGTTATTACCCATCCCCGTCATTCAATTCAATTATGACATTGATACAGATATATTCCAAGAAATAAGGGAGTGTTTAGAGTCATTGCTAAGTTTTTGTTAATTTATATTTTTTTGGCTAACAACTAAAGAAATGTACATACATATAAGACCACTTAAAGAAACAAACAAACCCTTTTTGACAAAGAAAAGCTATGTTATAAACAACACAGCCACGGGGAAGATTGTAGAGTCATTTCTGAACAGCTTTTTGCGTGTTCTTTCACAGTAAATTTTAGCTCCCTTCACATACTATCTGTAAAACTTAAGTCAGTGACCTGACTGAGTCACACTAAAACATTAACCTTTCCTTCAGTCCGACAAGATGAAGTTACTTTAAATCTATCCGGTTCTATACATCTTTTGGAATAAGGTGTATTTACAGTAGCTCAAAAGGGACATTAAACACAAATATAGCTCTGTTTTACATTTTCTGCTTCCACTCAACTTTCCGTTAAAATGCTTGGACACAGTGTGAAAAGTCAGGTCTTTAGCAACGACCTTTAGATTTTTATCTGCTTCTTTTACGGCCAAAATAGATCATCATGCTCATTTCAACATAGCAAT